ATTGCCATTTTGCTGTCATACGCGTTTCAGTGTAGCTGTCATTTTTTATATTCTCAACAACAGCCTTTTACGCTATAGTTCTTCGGCCTTGCTATTTCATAACAATTATTTTTTAAGTTTCTTATTCGTATTCTTTTCATGCAGCTGTTCTGTTAGATCAACTATTTCGCGGCATTTTGCGCCCACTTTTGTTTCACAGATTCACTGCGGAGTATGCTGTCTTTGAATTTTTCACTCGCATTACTTTGATGCAGATTTTCTTTAAGGTCACTCACTTCTCGGCGTATTGCCCTTACTCTTGTTCCGCTGATTCATTCTAGGTACGTTTTTTTTCTGTTTCTAGTTCGTACTCTTTTTATACCGGTGCACTTCTAGGTCGCTTTTCGGCATTCTGCCTCCACTCTTGTTTCGCGGATTCGCTGCAAAGTATGTTCTTTTGCATGCTCACTCGCATTTCTTCCATGCAACTTCTGTTTTAGGTCCCTCACTTCTCGGCGTCTTGCCCTACTCATATTTACTGTTTCATTCTAGGTACCTTTTTTCTGTTCCTAATTCTCATTCATGTCATATAGCTTTCATTTTAGGTCATTTTGTGTCATTCCGCGCCCATTCCTGTTTTGGTGGATCATTTTGAGGTATGCTTTTTAGCTGCTATTTATGCTATTTTATAATAGCTGTTACTCTGTTCCTATTCAGGCGTAGGTCGTATATCGGGCATTCATAGACATAGTGTGTAACATATTTTGATGGGCGATGGACTACTTGAAGCTCGGTTCTTTAAGCTGCCTCACTCGACGCTTCGTCTGCGCTCTCATCTTATCAGCGGCTCATGACCACTGTGATCTCACACATTCAAACTTTTGCCACACTGTAGTTGGCTCACCCACCTCGGAGTCCCTCCCCTTACAAGGCTTAGTCCTAGGGCTCTCACCTCCTTCCTTGGGATTTGGAGCCGAGCCAGGCGCCGTTCTCTAACGTCTGTCTCCGCCATTCGTGGCAGGACCATAGAAGAAAGTTCAAGTAGTCCGTAAAAGTCAGTAAATCGTCAACGCCTCAATAGTAGCAGTTATTTGGGTTCTATGTTTAATAGGATGAACAGCTGTCGCACTGTTCTTGTTTGCTTTCGGAAAAGGAAACATTATGATTTGTTACGTTGCTTAATAAAGAGAGTAGTAGTTTTATTTATTATTGTATTTCGCAGCTTATTGCACGAACAAGGTCTCAAAAAATGTACTAAAAGGCGAATCACTTTAATTTCAATACTTGAATGATAACGAAAATTAAGATGGGATAAAAACAATATTAAATAGGTGATAATCGGCCTGGCAAGAGCCTCGAGGGGGGGAGGGGAGGGAGAGTGATAACGGCCCAAATAAGGAGAAGAGCGGATTCGTTACAGAGTGGGCTGGAGTAGTATGTGCTAAAGTTGTTCGGGCTGCTGTAAGGAAAATCATATCAAAAGTTATTCGATGTCGTTCCTTGACTGCTAGGCTTCAAAGCCCTCCCTCGCGGCTTGCGTAACAAACAATAATAAATGTAGAAAAATAATCAACGCAAAAAAACAAACTCTGAGTCAGTGTATGAAACTGCCGCTACGATTCAAGAAGCTGATTGCCAGATTGTTGTTTCTGCTGTTTTTCTGTGCTGTTCTCCCTACGGGTGCTCACAGTTGTTGTTCTGTTAGCTGTCTGAAAAATTTCGTCATCTTCTAACACGTTTGTTGGTTAGCAGCAATGGAAAGACAGCAACAAGAACAAAGCAAAGCAGCGCTGCGCACAATAGGAGCTTCGCAGGAAATGGAAGGATTCAGTTCTTCGGAAGAGTGGTTTCTCGAGGACATTGAGCCGCTGGAGCTTGTCGAGTCTTACGTACCTATGGGTGAGGGACGTGCTTCTCAATCAGCGGTATCTGGATCGTCTCAAGATGTTAGTACCATAACTTCTTGGCAAAGATCATATTGTTGCGGGCTAATGCTTTCTTGTTCACAGACTCGTCTGTACATCCCTTTTACGGAAGAAGAGACGGCACTAATTTTGGAGAGATATACAGACAATTATGAACTGTATAATCATACCGTAGCTGGGCTATCGAAGGACGGGATCTGGGTAGGCGAGATTGTTGCCTTCCGGAGGAATTTCGATGTGTATTGCGCTGAATTTCAGGCTAAAAAGCGTTTCATCATTGAACTTACTCAAGATGTCAATGCTCTTGGGCACGCAAAAAGGAGTGAGAGGCAGGTTGACCAGAAAATCAAAGATGAATTAAAAATTTTGAAGAAATACGCTAGCACTTTGGTAAGACGCACTATCTACTAGAGGCTTACCTTCGCGCTCGTGATATCTTTTGCTTACAGAAGAAGGAAAGGAGCAAGACCGGGGGACGAACGTTCACTCCTTTGCCACGTTTATCAGTCGCTCAGAGGCTGGCGTTCGATGCCATCCAAACAAAACCGCGACTGTCCGGTATAGAAAGTGGTTTGGAAGTTGGTCAAAGAGAACCGGGAAGGTGGTATTTAGGATTGATTGCTTAGTGATAGAAATCAATGAATTTCTTCTTTCAGCGTAGAAGAGAGGATTCGCCAGCATTGTCATCGTCTAGTTCCCAAGGAAAAACGCCGACCAGAGAAGAGCTGCTTACAAAGGAATTGTGCAATCAGAATCTTAAGCACGAAGTTTTGCAAAAGAAAAGCAAACTGATAGACCTAAAAATGCGCATGGCAGAGCTGCAAGTTAGGTACTGGACCGAATAAAACGAGTATTCCGGATAAGACAAACGAAATTTTTTAGGTGAGATTATACTTCTTTGTTGAATGCTGTTTAAATTAGTATGTGCAGACCCATTCAGTTGCTTCCTAATTCAAGTTGATCGACTATTGCTTATGTACTGGTTACCTCTAGATCTTGCTAGATCTCTGTATTTTTCCCGATCTCGAATTGTATACTCACGATATTGCGAAGTGAACCTTTTTTGCACGTACAGGTGTACATTTTTTTGTTATTTTCATCTCAGGTGAATGTTTCATACTAGCTCATTGAGCGCCTTCAATACGTAGAAGTGAACTTTGTTTTGCATGTACAGGTGTACATTTTTTTGTTGTTTTCATCTCAGGTGAATGTTTTCCATGACTAGCTCATTGAGTGCCTTACTACGATACTGATAAGAAGAAAAACCCAATAGTCTGAAAAGTTTTTCATGTCATGTGAACAAGAATCTCAGGTTTTTTATCGAACGCACAAAACTTAGTCGAGATAACAATTGTATCAACTTTGATAATAAGATGAGGTAGCAGAAGGCGAAAGTCTTCGTGAAGGACTTCGCAAAAAGGCCTAAAATGCCTTGAATAACTGTTAGAGCGGCTAGTACAAACTAAATGCTATGAAGCTAATGAATAATTTTATTACCTCAAAAGTATTCTTCTATCAAGTCCTCCAAAAAGGAAATGGCACGCCTGTCTGCAGCTCTACGTGGAGGATTGCTCGGGACTTCGCCGTCTTGACGGTCCTCTCCATCGTATTCGTCATAGTCGTTAGGCTCGTTCGCATCTATAGCTATGTTCCGAAGATCACAACATGCCACTACAATTTCAGCCGCCCTTTCTGGAGAGTACCTTCAAGTGGCTTAATTAAAATAATCACAACTGCCGCTTCAACAACGCAAAAGCCCGCTCGACGATGGAGCGCGCCGAACAGATGGCCCTGTTGTAGCGCTCCTCTTCAATGAATAGTTTGCGATTTCTATTGTCTCAAGAACTCATAATGAATACCTTTTCTATTTCTTGTTGTTGCCAACGGCTTCAGCAGGAATCGTTCTAAGGCATAAGCCAAATCTCCTATCAAAACACCTCTGAGCTCCCCACTTTTCAGCTGCTCGTACAACTTCGATGATTTGAAAACGTGGGAATCGTGTGCAGACCCAAGCCATTTGGAGCACACCCATCTCACCCTCATATCGTAGTCTACCACGATTCCCACATTGAGACTGTGGTAGCCTTTCCTGTTTACATAATCTCCTTCATCACGGGTGGGCTGTAGAATACGGCAGTGGGTCCCGTCAATCACACCAACTATTCCAGGAATATGGTACTTCCTGTAGAAGGATTGTCTGATTGCAACGCTTTCTCTTCCACTTGGCCAACGTATATAATTGCTAGCTCTTCGATTCACAGCTTTGACAAAAGCTGCCACCACTCGAGACACAGTTGGTTGACTACAGCCCGCAATCAATGCCTCATCCCTTTGCATCACATTCCTTCCAAGGAGGTGTATGGCCAAGGACACTTGGCTAGCCACCGTCAAGTTAACCCCTCTTGTTTGAAGATGCTCAAGGTCTGATGCCACCATCTCGCATATTTCGAAGAAAATGTGACGGGAAAATCGATAGTATTTCTTAAATTCTGCGTCAGTTAAGGTCTCAAAGTGGCACGTTCTATCTCGAAAGATACGCGGCACGGATACTCTCCCATGCTCCCGCACACGATCGAGAAATTCATAGAGTTCCATTTCTTCCAAAAATGAACCTTTCAAACTATCACAAAATTACTTTATTAATCAAAAAAAAACAAATGTACTTTATTAGGTCATGAATTACTTTACTGTTCTATATGTGACAAGATCACAACACTTCAAACTTGAACACACAACAGGCCATAACATAAGTAACTGCACGTTTGAATCATAATTTGAAAGTTTACAAGTATATTTCAACTCAACTTTCAAATGACAACTTCCCATTTTTGCTGTTTGCCTGTGTGCGAGGGTGGATAGCCATCACAAAAGTCGCACACTTACAATGAAAAAGATGCTGATCATTGAAGAAGTGCGAAATACGCTAACTAGCGGGGAAAACGACAATCTGCTACTCACGAACATGAAAAGTGTGGCAGATAACCAGGGGAATGAAGGAGTGACTTCTCCATAGATCCGCGAAAAACTCTCACGTAAACCTGCATTACCTCAATTCTTGAGTTTACAGTTACTTATGTCACGACCAACTAACTACACAGACAGACTAATTCATAAAAATCTCTGAAATGGAGACAATCTGAGAAAATCAAGAGTTTTCCTGATATACCTCGCAATACTGACGACTACCTTCAGAGGAAATACTTAGTGAGCGATCCTTTCGACCTGAATCAATAATTTGATTGGAAAAGATGAGAAGGCACACGCCTAATCACAACCATAATCTGAAACCTAGACTTGTATGGGGACAGCGCGTAGCTAAAAAGCATACCTCAGAATAAATCTTCAAAACAGTGTGGGCGCAAAATGACGAGAAGTGAGGGACCTAAAAGAAAGGCTGCATGAAAAAAAAGCGAGTGAAGAACTGGAAAGAGCATACTTCGCAGTGAATATGTGAAACCAAAGTGGGCGCAAAATGCCGAGAAATAGACGACCTGAAATAACGGCTGCATGGAAAGAATACGAATTAGAATCAGAAAAAACCTACCTAGAACTAATCAGCGAAACAAGAGTAAGGGCAAGAAGCCGAGAAGTGGGCGACCTAAAAAAAGGCTGCATGTAAGAAATGCGAGTGAGGAACTATATAAAACTTACCCAGGATGAATCAGCAAATATGAGTAAATGTAACACGCCAAGAAATGAGTGACCTAAAAGAAAGTCTGCATGAAAAAAATGCGAGTTAGGAACTAGATATAAGTTACCTAGAATGAATCAGCAAATATGAGTCAGGGCAATACGACGAGAAGTGAGGGATCTAAAAGAAGAGTTGCATGAAAGAAATGCAAGCGAAGAACTGCAAAAGACATACTTCGCAATGATCCGCGAAACAAGAGTGGGGGAGAATGCAGAAAACACGACCTAGAAAAGCATCCGTATAAGAAGAATACGAATTAAAATCTGAAAAATGTACCTGGAATCAAACAGCGAAACAAGGGTAAGGGCAATATGCCGAGAAGTGAGTGACCTTAAAGAAAATCTGCATCAAAGTAATGCGAGTGAAAAATTCAAAGACAGCATACTCCGCAGTGAATCTGTGAAACAAAAGTGGGCGCAAAATGCCGCGAAATAGTTGATCTAACAGAACAGCTGCATGAAAAGAATACGAATAAGAAACTTAAAAAATAATTGTTATGAAATAGCAAGGCCGAAGAACTATAGCGTAAAAGGCTGTTGTTGAGAATATAAAAAATGACAGCTACACTGAAACGCGTATGACAGCAAAATGGCAATGCAGGGTAAATATCAGCAGACATTACGAAATCCTTGAAGAAATTTTGTTCACCCGCGCCACTGATTTAAAGGAGCGGTCGTGGGCGGGTCCCGCAGCGAATTCCTGCTCCCCTCCCCCCAAAACTGAGGGAGGATTGAATCAGAGTTGGGGGATATATCCCCCTGGGGGAAGGATTGAATACCGCCCCGGGTCTGTCACGATGCTAACCACCACCCAGCTTTTTGCCCAGTAAGTTGGGACGTCGTCAACGACGTCGCGGGAGATATGAACATGTTTTATGATGCTATGTGGACAATCTATCGAAACGTCCACAACAGGAAACAGTGAATCCCTTCCCAATCGCGTCGGGCACTTCATTTGTACGGCATGGACCTATGCGCAATTCATTGCTCAGACTTCGCCAATCTTCGTTTCAATTCGAGAAGAATTTTACGCTGATTTGTTTTGTGCGGATATCCGCCATGTTCATTGTTGTTTTAACATACATTTTCGCATTGTGTTTTTAGCATACATCTTTGTGTACTTGCAATATTTTGTTTTGTTTCTACGACATCTTTTCATTTACTCACAGTATTTTCCTCTGTTTTGACATATACCTCCTCATTCGGTTATCCCTTATTCTCACGGATCTCTCTTTTTGCCTTATTATAGATGTTGAAGAAACTTTTTTGT